GGCATACACAGTCCCGTGCTCTGCTGGCTCTGGCTAGCTGAGCGCCTTTGTGTGTAGATGCGTCCACATTGCCCTTACAGTGGATAGTAGTGCTTCTTTTTATGTTCACACTTCACCTGTGATCTGCCTTCACACTTGCTTGGGGTTCTTTTTGGGTGTCCATTTGTTCTCTAGATCTAATTTTCTGTTATATTCATAGAAGAGAGTCTGAATGTCTTTAGTTTAACCTCGGTCCCTCTGTCCTGTGACTGAGACAGAGTTCCTGGCTGTTGTGGTCATGCTCACATATTTTCTCTATTGTTAAGCTGTTGTATTTGTCCATGTGTAATTTGTATGTTTTGTGTGCATGTATGTATGTATGCACCACATGCCTGCAGAAGGAGCTTCTGGAACTAGAACTACAGAGGTGTGAGTCATGTGGGTGCTGGGAACTGAACCCGGATCCACTGCAAGAACAGCAAGTGCCGTCCACCACTGAGCCATCTCTCCAGCCCTGTTACAGAATCTCTGATTTGGGAAGAGTGGCTTGGCAAGTTTTCCGTGTTTCTTGGTTTCTTTCTGTTCTTCGGTTTGGACGTCACTTGCTGTGTTATTTGGAGATCTGCCTATTGAGCAGCCCACTCTTGAGGGCTCAGTCCCTAGCTCCACTCAGAGAAGAGAAAACAAACGACTATAAAAACAACAGTGTCAAAACAACAACAGTGTCTCACCATGCTAGAAGCCGGGCGGTGGTGACACACCTTTAATCCCAGTACTCGGGAGGTAGAGGCAAGCAAATCTCTGAGTTAGAGGCCAGGCTGGTCTACAGTGAGTTCCAGGGTTACACAGAGAAACCCTGTCTTGAAAAACCAAAACCAAAAGCAACCAACCAAACAAGCAAACAAAAAGCCAGGGACTTGCTGTGTATCCTGGCGGTACAGAGCAGGCTGGCCTCAGGCTTGCAGTGAATCCGCTGCTTTGTTCTCTTGGAGGGCTGAGCCGCCACCCTGGGCCCTCTCCCAAGACTTTTTTCAGGCAAGATGTCTTCTTTTCAGCATGAGAACAGATTTCTGAGTTCACTGCCTCTGCAAGGGAGCCGTGAACTGGGCGGTAGCCAGGGTGCTGCTGCCCCCCACCCCCGCTTCTCCGACTACACTTGCGGCTGTGTTTAGACTTCACTATGTTTAAAAATTGTGCTGTTATCTTTTTTTCATACACTTTTCTAATTTTGTTTGCACATTTCTTATTTATTATGAGTAATCGTTCTTTGTCCTTTCTTCTTTTTTTCCTTTTCTGTTTTCCTCTCATCTATGCTTTTTAGTAGTGTTTTGACTTTGTGTTTCAATTTTTTGTTCTGCTTGTTTGTTTGTTTTTTAAAGAGTGGGGGATGAGGAGTTTGGTAAGGAGCACAAAAGGGGTAAAAAGAAAAACTGAGGTGCCTGAGCACTTCCTGGATCCCCAAACCTTACAGCTTGCTGGTTCTTTGTCCTGGGCAGGTGGTTTATGCTGGTGTCGGATCTGTGTTGGACAAACTCTGCCAGAGCATGGCTTCACATTAGTGGCCTCCCTTCTGTGTGTGCAGGGGCTGCCGCCTGTGGGATGGGCAGATTTTCCTAGCCTTCTTGAGACCTGTAGGGTGGGGATCTCCCAGATGTGTTGGGGGTATGGGAGGTAACTGTGATACAGAGATCTGCATAGGCAGAGGACTGTCTTCTACTTTTTAAGGCTCCCCCAGTGATACTCCCAGTGCTAAAGGGAAATCCTCAGACCAAATGGGGTATCCTGTCTCTACAAGTCCTCAGACTGAAAGCCTTCATTCCTGCCTTATGTTCCTCTCTCTGCCCAGCCATATCTCTTCCTGTCTCCACCTCCCTAGTTCTGGGCTTAAAGGCCTGTGACTCCCAAGTACTAGGATTGGAGACATGAGCCACCACTGCCTGACTCTGTTTCTCTTTTAGATTGGATCAATCTCAGGTGGCCCAAGGTGGCCTTGAACTCGCAGAGATCTCTCTGCCTCCCAAGTGCTGCCCGGCCTCTGTGGCTATCTAGTGACCAGCTCCGCACTCTGCTCCTCAGGCGAGCGTTGTTAGCGCACAGACAGAACACCACCGTCGCTAGTTCTCACTTTACTCCATGAGGGGGAGGACAGGGCCTGTGGCCGTGCAGATGCCCAAGAGCCACTGGCGTCCCACGGTGGCCCATGGCGGGCTTGACTTTTGAATGATTTGTGTATGTTTCAGAATTTATTTTCTCTAATGGCTGAGGACAAGGTTCCAAATGTGTTCACCAGTTCAGATTTGTCTATTGAGTTGCTAAAGGAATCAATATTTTTACATGTATGTTTTAATATTTTATATGTTTAACCTGCATGAGTGTCTGTGTACCCATGAGTGTTGCAGTGTCTTCAGAGGCCAGAAGAGGTCACCAGATTCTCTTGAACTGGAGTTAGAACAGATGGTCAGCCTTGTGAAGCACAGCCAGTGCTTTTAACCACTGAGCATCTCTCCAGCCCCTGCTTGGATTTTTCTTTTTTTTTCTTCTTTTTTTCCATTAAAGATTTATTTATTATATATACAATGTTCTGCCTGCATGTATGCCTAAAGGCCAGAAGAGGGCACTAGATCTCATTACAAATGGTTGTGAGCCACCATGTGGTTGCTGGGAATTGAACTCAGGACCTCTGGAAGGGCAGCCAGTGCTCTTAACCACTGAGCCACCTCTCCAGCCCCTGCTTGGATTTTTCTAGTCTCCTGCAGGACTATGACTTGTTATCTGTGTGTGCACATCTGGAGACCAGAAGTTGGCAGACATACAGTATCTTCCTCTGCTGCTCTCCATATTATTATTAATAACACTGTGTCAGCGAGGCTGGCTGGTTAGCAAAGCCCTCATATCCACCGTCTTTGCTTTCCAGTGCTGGAGTTCAAAGCTTGTATCACCGTGCCTGCCTTTTTTACTTAGGTGCTGGGATCTAAGCTCTGATCTTCTCTCATTGTTGTGCCACAAGCACTTTATCTACAGAGCCGTCTCTGTGGTCCCCAATTGTCCTTTACACACACACACACACACACACACACACACACACACACACACACACATTGGTTTTCAATACAGGGTTTCTCTGTGTACTCCTGGCTGTCCTGGACCTAGCTCTGTAGACCAAGCTGGCCTCAAACTTACAGAGATCCACCTGCCTCTGCCTCCAGAGTGCTGTGATTAAAGGCGTGCACCATCACCACCTGGCAAAATATTTTAAGATATCTTAGAGCCAGGTGTGGTGGTTCACACTATAATCTCACTTGGGAGGTGGAGGCAGAGAGATCAGGAGTTCAAGGCAAGTTGGGGTTACACGATACCTTGCTTCAAAAAATAAAAACATCATATATGCTACAATTTTTTTTGAGACAAGGTCTACAAACATGTAGTCCTAGTTTGCCTCATGAGCCTGGCCTCAAACTTGTGGCAATCCTCCTGCCTCTGCCTCCCTAGTACTGGATTGTAGGTATTTACTAGTATGCTTGGGTTTGCCCTTAAATTTAAATGAGAGTTTAGCAGGATATAGTGTCTGGTTTCAATCAAGTGTTGTCGATTGCGTTGGGTGGGTTACTCAGTCTAGGGGTTTGTAACCCACCCTGCAATCAGTTATTCCAGGGTCTCGGAGGGGCGCTACCTGGAAGGGAATGAGCTAGGACAGAAGAAGGAGGCCAAGCAGATTTGTCAAAGCCTCCGTTTATTAGGATCATGGTTGCTGCTTATATAGGCCCTGCATGAGGACTTGGTGGGCAGGGCACGGGATCTCGCCACGTGGTCCCAGTCACGTAGGCCAGGTTCATCATGTAGGCCAAGAGGTTACATTCGGACAGGTAGGCCAAGAAGTCACAAGTTGCTACATCTGGTTCCCTGGATAGCTGGAATGTGAGGCGCATTCCGCTAACAGATAAGTTAATTGGGTGTGGGGCAGGTTCTCTCAATAGAACATAATTATGGGTGTGGGGTTCTCTGCAGACTCCCCAGGGTGATGGTTCCTGTAATGATTTTTAGGGGGGAAATGGCTCGTGACAAGGTGTAGTGGTGGCACACACCTTTAATCACAGCACTTGGGAAACAGAGGCTGACAGATCTCAGTGAGTCCAGGGTCTGCTGGTCTAGGACAGCCAGGGCTACACAGATAAATCCAGTCTTAACAAAACAAAACAAAACAAAAAAATAATAAGAACTAGAAATTCTGGTCTCAAAATGGTATTCCTTCAGCACAGATAGGAAACGTTATTTGTTTCCTCTCGTCTGCTGCTGCTGGAAGATCCATGTAACTCGGTCACTTCTAAGTAGTCTGAGCCTCTGGGTTATAAAATCCAGGATTTTTCAGCTTTATTTTTTAACCCGTTTTGTCTTGTTTGACAAGGACTTCTGTAGCCAGGCTGGACTGGAATTCACATCGTAGCCTGGGCTGCCCTTGGACCCAAGTTTCTAGCCCCAGCTCCCTCCAGGAATGAGCCACCAGGCTCAGTGTATTTGGCATTTTTTAGAAAGCTCTTGCCTGTCTGACCTGGGGGAAGCTAAGACCTGTTTCCAGGTACTTTCCTTCACTCGATAGAGTGTGCCACCCCAGGTGTCACTATGGAGCCAGGGTCCTATGGTGGGAGATACTGCCCTACAGGCTCAGCTCCAGCTACTAGGTGGCGTCCACACTGTCAATCCACCTAGTGTCCACTAGAGGGCGCTGCCGCCCAGAGGTCCTAGCTAGCTGGCTCTGGGGGCATATACCATAGTGAGGCACCAAGGACCAATTTGTGAAAAACCTGTAACCTGCTTGTGGTGGGCTCTGCCTAGCTCTGGTCTGTTTCTCTCCCACATGGTGGTCCCACTTTGTCTTCCCCTAGCTGTGGAGCTGTCTGAACCCTTTCTCCTAGGACTTAGGAGGGGTCACCATCAGGACTGTGAGTCCTTTGGCCCGAGGGTTGAGGAGCCCCATCTTCCCTCTCCCCCTGCTAATTCCACACCTGTCCTTGTCTCTTCTGCAGTCAGACTGGTTCTTCAGTGATGACGAGGACAAAGGAGAGAGAGTAAGTGATGAGAGGAGGGCAGGGTATGGTCTGAGGTGACCCCTTTTTCTGAAGGGTGGGTATGGGTGTGGCAGTGGAGAGGTGGCTCAGAGGTTAAGGACACCCACTGTTCCTGCAGAGGACCCAAATGTGGTTCCCAGCACCCACATTCAGTTCCCACAACCACCTACAATTCTAGAACTTCTGATGCACCCCCCCCACACACACACCCAACCTCCATAAGCCCACACTCAGACACAGATAATCATGCAATGAAAAGTAAAAGAGGCAGCTGGTGGTGCATAGATTTAATCCCAGCACTTGGGAGTCAGAAGCAGGCAGATCTCTGTGAGTTCAAGGCCTTTGTGGTTACAGGAGCTAGTTACAGGACAGCCAAGGCTACACAAAGAAATCCTGTCTCAAATAAATAAATAAATAAATAAATCGAGGCTGGAGAAATGACACACAGGTTAAAATCACTTGATTCTCTCCCAGAGGACCCAGGTTGGAGTCCCATATGGCCGCTCATAGCCATCCATACTCCAGTTCCAGTAGTATCTGATGCATAGATATACATATAGTCAAACTACCCAGACATGTAAAAAGGTTAAAATAAAAATAAAATCTTTAAAAAAAAAGTTTGAGGGAGAGGAGAATCCTGCAGTGTGACGGAGGAGACAGCCCTTCCCTTCAGGAGCAGCGGTCTGTTGGGGGATACAGATCAAACTCCGAGGAGACCCACTATGTAGCATGTAGCATAGCCCAGTCTGATGGGAGAGACGAGGCCCTTGTTCTCAGCTGAGGGAGCCTTCAGGGTTCTGTCCTAGTGGGAGACCTCAGATCTAGTCTCAGGATGCTCCCATTGAGGAGACAGCCCCACCGTGTTTTGAGGAGCCTGAGGGCTAGCCATCTGGGAGACTCCTGGCTGACCGACCCCCTTTCCTGTTGCAGACCCCTGTTGATGACAAGGAGCCACAGTCAGTGCCCAACATCGAGTACCTCCTGCCTAACATTGGCAGGACAATGCCCCCCAGTGATCCAGGCTCAGGTGAGTAATGGGACCTGGGAGGGGAGAGATGGGGGGCTCTGCCTTCCTGAGGGTCCCAAATGCCTGGCCAGATGTTTATCTTCCCTGCCCCAGGCACCTGGCCTGGCCGTACCCCAAGATTGGCCATAGTGGGCTTTCTCCCTCTCTGGGAAAATCAGCTGTGTGTTCAGCATCCCCAGGACTGGGCAGGGCTGTGCTTGACCATCTTCTCTGGTCCTCTCCTGTGCCTTTGGTTTCCGCAGCTGAGGGCTTTATTCTAGGTGCAGATTCCTCTTTTTAATTTCTCTTCCTTCTCTCCTTGCACCTTGTCCCTCCCTCCTCTTCTCCCTTCAATCTCCTCCCACTTCCTCCATCCTCCCTTCCCTCTTCTTCTCCTGCCCTCCTCCTCCAGCGGACCTGTTGGAGATTTAAAGGGTACAGTGCGGTGTCGCGGCCTCAGTCACTAACAGTGGCGGGTGATTATAAGAAGGCAGGGCAGGCCCAAGTGGTAGACACGTCCCCAGCAGTGAGCACCCCAGCTTCACATAGCAGCTGGCAGTACTGGTCCACCATTTACCCATGGCCCCACCCTGCCTCCTCTTATCCCTGTGTTCCCTTCTTAGAAGGAAGCCAGACCCCTTGCCCTGCCACCAGATGGCTAGCTTCCCTTCCCAGCCCCCAGCTCTGTGGCTTTCCCTGTGCAGAACAAGCTCTTCAGGTTGACCAAGATGAAGGAAGCTTGTCTGTGGACCCTGCCTCTGCTGGGACCAGTGATACCACCCCCAGATGCCATTCTAAAATGACAGCTCCTACTTCAGGTCAACCCTGGACGCTGATGCTGGAAGTCCTGTTCCAGAGGCGGGGTGGCTTCTGTGCCTAGAGGCAAATGAATGGCCCTTTTTTTCTTGGTCCCAGCCACCAGCTCTTCTCATGTCTGACTATTCTGCCCTGGCATGTCCAGTTCTTGCCCACAGCAGCCCTAGTTATGAGATACAGTCTGGGGGTGGGTGGGGAGGAGCCCCCTGTCTCTTCTAATCACCTGCTGCCGCCTGCCCCGTGTGTGTTGAGTGTGGTCCGCCATCCTTGCTCTTCTCACCGTTTGCTGGGGGAGGGGTTGGGGAGGGGCCTCTAACCTGCCTGCCAGAGAGTGTGGATTAACTGCACTTGCTCGTCCCAGGCCTTTGAACCAACCTGCTCCCTCTCCAGCGTGGAGAGGACACTGCCTGGTCTTGTTATCTGGTTCCTTCTCCATTCTGGAGACACTAAAGAGTGGGACTCTAGTCCCTCAGATATACCGGTTTTGACTGGTTTTAAAAGGGACCATGCCCCTTAAGGGCAGGTTGATGTTGGCTCTATCACCAGTCCACTGCCCCCCTGTGTCTTATCCATCTCATTTCTGCTCTTTTACATGATCACTTAGCGTGGTCCCTTCTTCTCTCATGTGGTGGGGGTGGGGCTCACACCTCTCTGCACTGTGTGGTCTCCATGTTCTCCAGAGTATCTGTGATGTGCTGTGTCGCACCGCTGTGATTTCTGTGGGCTGCATCCGGTACTGGCATTTTCTCTCTAGTGCTTCAGAGTCACGGGGCAGGAGGGGGAGGGGAGAGGAGCCAAGACCAAAGAAAAGCCCCCTTTGTCCTTAACCCTGGGCAAGTGAAGACTCAGTGGCCCACAGCTTGATGTCACTTCCTGCCTCTAAAGAAGTGGTGGCTAACATCACCCTGTGCTCTGGGCCATCCCATAGAAAATGCCAGCAGGAACAATGGTCCTCCTAGGGCCTGGGGAGAACACCTTCATCCCTGAACTTTTGAGGCAAGGAAAATGTGTTCATATGACCCCGCTTATCCTTCCTGATCTAACATCCAGTTTTCTTTCTTTTGCCAACAGATTCCACCACCTGTAGTTCAGCCAAGTCCAAGGTTAGTGCCGAGGCTTCCTAAATGTGTTCTGCCTGGACACTTTGTTTTGGTCAAGAGAATTAGAATGGTAGTTGAACTCAGGGGAAGTTGAGGGTCCCATGTGAAGGAAAGTGGGAAATACTGAGTGTCCAGGGGAATCCGAGACATCGCCCTTAGTGGTGCTTGGAGGGGTGTCTGATGTAGAAGAAGGGCTGGCCTTGAGTTGGACAGCTGAGAGGCAGTGTATCCTCAGAACAGACTCTAGGGGCAGAAAATCCTGGGTCTGAGTCCTGGCTTTGCCACTTAGTTTTAGGATGTTGGGGTAATTCTTTATATTTGCAGCTTCCTTCTCTGTAAAAAGAAGTAACAGCAAGTGTCTGCTGTGATAAACATGATTTAGGGTCTCTGGGGGAAGCTGAGTGTGGTGGCTCATGCCTGTAATTCCACCACTTGATAGGTACAGCCTGGGCTATATGCTGAATTCCAGATTAGCCAGGCCTTCATAGCAAAACCAAACCAAACCAAAAAAAAAAAAAAAAAAAGAGGGCTATCTGGAAGGGCTTAACGAGGAAAAGAAAGAAGACAAATGAAAAATTAGTGAAATTGAAAACAATTAAGAAAAATCAATGAAACTACAAACTGTCTCTGTGGGTAAAAATCAGTAAAATTGATAGACTTGTCACCAGACTGACAGAATAAGAGATGGCATAAATTACCAGTGCTAAGGATGACACAAGTGTTTCTAAAGACCACACACACACAGACACTAACACAGGGGGACATCGGTACAGACCACACAGACATTATTAACATAGGGACATCAGTACAGACCACACAGACACTAACACAGGGGGACATCAGTACAGACCACACAGACACTAACACAGGGACATCAGTACAGACCACACAGACACTAACACAGGGACATCAGTACAGACCACACAGACACTAACACAGGGACATCAGTACAGACCACACAGACACTAACACAGGGACATCAGTACAGACCACACAGACACTAACACAGGGACATCAGTACAGACCACACAGACACTAACACAGGGACATCAGTACAGACCACACAGACACTAACACAGGGACATCAGTACAGACCACACAGACACTAACACAGGGACATCAGTACAGATCACACAGACACTAACACAGGACATCAGTACAGACCACACAGACACTAACACAGGGACATGGGTACAGACCACACAGACGTTATTAACATAGGGACATCAGTACAGTCTACACAGACACTCAGAGAATACAATCAGCAACTCTGTCCATAAAATCAGTGACTTAAAAGAAACAAACCTATACTTAGAAGGATTCTAACTACCAAAATTTGCAAAAGAAATAGATCTGAATAGTCCTGCATGTATTAAAGAAATTTAATTTGTGTGTAAAAACCTTCCAACAGAGAAAATGCCAGATCCAGATGGCTTCACTAGTAAATTCTACCACATATTTTAAGGAGAAAATGTTTGTGTTGTTGTTTTGTTGTTTTAGTTTTGGTTTTTCAAGACAGGGATTCTCTGTATAATTGTCCTGGAGCTTATTCTATAGACCCAGGCTGGCCTTGAACTCACAGAGACCTGCCTGCCTCTGCCTCTTGAGTGCTGGGATCAAAGGTGTACACCACCACTGCCTGGGCCTGGCTCATTGTTGTTATTCTTAAAATTACTCATTGTGTATGTGTGTGCACACTTGAGTATTCCAATGTATATGTGATCGTGTGTGTGTGTGTGTGTGTGTGTGTGTGTGTGTGTGTGTAGGTCAGAGGACAACTTTTTTTTTTTTTGGTGGGGGGTTCAAGACAGGGTTTCTCTGTAGCTTTGGAGCCTGTCCTGGAACTTGCTCTGTAGACCAGGCTGGCCCCAAACTCAGAGATCTACCTGTCTCTGCCTCCCGAGTGCTGGGATTAAAGGCGTGCGCCACCATCACCTGGCCAGAAGGCAACTTTTGAAAATGAGTTATTGTCTTTCACTGTGTGGGTCCTGGGGGGTTGAACTCAGGTCCTCGGGCTTGGTGGCAACTTCCTTTAACTGTTAAATTATTCATTCATTCATTTTTGAGACAGGATCTCTCTATATAGTCCAAATTCCTTCCTTTTTCCTAAGTAGTGGCATTACAGGTGTGTGCCATCTCACCTGGCTTATTTTTTAATTTTTAAATAATTCATCTATTTGTCCAACTTTATAGAATCTTAGTTATATAAAATAGTTGTCTTTGTCTCTGTTCCATTGCTGTGAAGAGACATTATGACCAAGGTAACTATTATAAGAGAAAGCATTCAACTGGGGGCTGGCTTACAGTCTCAAAGGTTTAGTCCATTATTACCATGGTAGGGAGCATGGCTGCATGCAGACAGACACTGGAACAGTAGCTAAGAATTGTGTTCTGATCCACAGGCAGAAAGAAACTCTGGCATGGGCTTTGGAAACCCACCCCCAGTGACACAATTGCTCTAACAAGGCCACACCTCTTAATCCTTCTAATCCTTTCAGATAATGCCACTTCCTGATGATTTAACATTCAAATATGCATGAGCTAACAGAGCCATTCTTATTCAAACCACCACAATAATATAATTTAAAAAAAAAAGTCAATAGTAACATAGGCCTTTAATCCCAGCACTCAGATGGATCTTTGTGAGTTTGAGGCCAGCCTGGTCTACAGAGCTAGTCCCAGGACAGCCAAGGCTGTTACACAGTGAAACCCTATCTCAAACAAACAAACATCAACAACAAAAACTCAAACAACAAAAAGTCTCCCACTTCACAGTGACATTTTAGACAGCAGTAGGCCACATATATGAAAGTGGCCCCTTACAGCCTGTGTGTGGTAGGTTAATAAATACTGTCCAGTTTATATAAGTACACACTACAATGCTCACACAGTGATGAAATCACTTCATGACATGTTTCTTCGAATTCATTTCCACTAGGAAGTGACCCAGAACTATAGTTGTCTAAAATTTAAATACTTATTTGAAGTATACTTGGGGACTGGAAGGATGGCTCAGCTGTTGAACACGTCCTGCTCTTGCAGAGGACCAGAGTTCAGTTTTTAGCACTTACATTTGATGGTTCACAATCACCACTAACTCCAGCTCCAGGGAATCTGGCACTCTCTTTCGGCCTGAATGCATGCCCATGTAAACACACACACCCATTCTTATGTGCACTTGTACACACATATACCCACACACTCAAAAATAAAAATAAATCTAAAAGAATGTTATTTAATTGCTTACATAGAAATACTACCTCAGGGGTTGGAGAGAGATTGTCTCAGAGGTTAAAAGTACTGGCTGCTCTTGCAGAGGACCTGGGTTTGGTTCCCAGAACCCACATGGCATCTCACAACTGCCTGTGACTCCAGTCCCAGGAGATCTGATGTCCTCTTTGGGCACTGCACTCAGTGTTGAACATGCTTGCATAATACACATAAAATAAAAAATAAATTGTAAAAAAGAAACACACACAAACTACTATGAATTCTTCAGAGGCTCTTCCAGGAGGTAGAAGAGGTGGGAATACTCAACCCGATATGTGATACCCGCATTCCCCAATATCTGAGGCTGCCAGTGTCTCCAGATACAGGGATAGTCATTGAGCCATGCCTCAGATCTCAGCTGAACCTCCCCTACATGGCCTCACTGTACTGAATGCTGAGGATACAAGAAGGAGCCGAGGGGCTGGAGAGATGGCTCAGTGGTTAAGAGCATTGCCTGCTCTTCCAAAGGTCCTGAGTTCAGTTCCCAGCAACCACATGGTGGCTCACAACCATCCGTAATGGGGTCTGGTGCCCTCTTCTGGCCTGCAGGCATACACACAGACAGAACACTGTATACATAATAAATAAATAAAATATTAAAAAAAAAAAAAGAAGGAGCCGAGGAGCTGGAAAGCTGGCTCAGTGGTTAAGAGCACTGACTGCTTCTCCAGAGGACCTGAGTTTAAATTCCCAGCACCACATGGTGGCTCACAGCTCACAGCCATCTATGAGACCTGGTGCCCTCTTCTGGTGGTCAGGCATACTTGCAGGTAGAACACTGCATACATAATAAATAAGTAAATCTTTAAAAGGAGAGAAAAGAGGCCCCAGGAACCTGTGTCTGCAGCATCAAGGCCTAGGCCCCCAGCCAGCCTTGAGTTCCCAAGGGTAGGGGCTACATCTGCTGAGTGCTGAGATTTACCATTGCCAGCCTCTGACTCTGAAATCCAGGCCAGTGATTGTCAGCTGGGGTCATCACACAGCAGTGTACGGAGGCCGCAGGTGGCCTGCTCTATATCTTCTTTTATGCAGCAGGTTTTTCAGAGGCTTCTAATGGGACAGAGGAGTTCTGGTCCCCTCACAGCCATTGTCCTAGCCTTTCCCTCAAGCCAGGGGCAGGACACTCGGCTGGATCCACACCCAGCCACACGGGACTTACAGTCGCACTCTGGTGGGCCCCTCCCTTTCGGCTCTTCCTTACTGGAGTGCGCTGGCACCACACAGCACAAGCTCAGCTAAGCACACTAGTTTAACATTAGAAGTTCATGTTTGGGGGAAGGGTCCCTTTTTACTTCTTGGATGGCCCCTCACTCCTCTCCATACAGCCTGCAGTAACCTGCCCAAGGCCCCCTGGTCCCCAGCGGGGCTGTCTGATCCAGCATGGCCTTATCCCATTTCACCACAGGTTCCTTAGCCCTGTGGCCCATCCAAAGCTGCAAGGGAGAATTATCTGGCCACATGGGAATCACAAACACTGGAAAGAGAGCTTTTTCTCCTCACTCTCAGTGAGAGACCCCTTCAAAAATCAGATGACAGGGCTGGAGAAATGACCCAGTGGTTAAGAGCACTGGCTGCTCTTCCGGAGGTCCTGAGTTCAGTTCCCAGACGCCACATGTTGGCTCACAAGCATCTGTAATGGAATTCGATGCCCCCTTTTGTTGTACAAATGTGCATTCAGGCAAAGCACCTATATAATAAAGAAATAAACTAATGAATAAATCCGGAGACAGCTATGTAGTCTTGTTCCAGAAGGTACGCTGAAAACTCCTGCAGCCAACATTGAGGTTCAGCGCCCATGCCCGGCCAGGCCCCCAGTCGGATCCCTTGTGTGGAGGCTGTGGCTGGTGATTTCCCTTCCCACTGAAGCGGAAGTTCAGTTCTCAGCGCTGCCTCCTGCTGCTGTGGATGTCTGTGTTTAAAATACCCGACCACGGCAACAGCCACCGCTGTCTAAGCACTCCGGTGCTCTTTGTGAGCATGTGCATCTAAAGAAGCAAGAGCTGGAGTAGGGTGTGGGAGAGCTGGGCTGGGGAGACTGCTCAGTGGGTAAGAGCACTGGCTGCTCTTGCAGAGGACCTGGGTTCAATTCCCAGCACCCACATGGCAGCTCCCACTGTAACTCCAGATCCAGGGCATGCAGTGCTTTCTTCTGACCTCTACAGCAGTAGGCATGGATGGTACACACACACACACACACACACACACACACACACAGAGGCAGAACACTCAAACACAGAAAATGAACAAATCTAAAAAAAAATTAAAAAGAATCTGGAAAGAGCAATATTGTAGAGCCAGCAAACACCCACAGGTCCAGCTCCGGGAGGACCCCTGCCTCTGGCCTCAGGCCCCTGCGCTCAGCTGTGTACACCCTACACACATACATACATACATACATACACATACACAATAAAAGATAAATACGAACAAAAAAGGAAATCAAGAGTTGGAAGCTGGACATGGTGGCACAAGCCTTTAATCCTGGCACTGGAAAGGCAGAGGCAGGAGAATCTCTGAGTTCTAAGCCAGCCTGGTCTACAGAGTGAGGTCAGCAAGAACAACATAGAAGTCATTGAATTGATCCAGGGCTGGGGAATGGCAGGTGACAAGGGAGACATGACCAGGGTGCTGCCCTGGAGAGGAAGGCTTCTCAAGCGGGATGAGTGGAGAGGGAGAAGGGTAGATGCTTGTGACCAAGGAAAGACCAGCTAAGGAGTAGTATGCCCAAAGCATTAGTAGCATTTACACCAGGGATCCCATACCAGACACTGTCAAGGACTGTCACTCGGATGTCTGAAGAATTTATCTGGAAGTGGCAGGAGAAGACTCCCGCCAGCTCCCAGATCAGAGGTGATACCGAGCTATGGATAGGAGCGCCCGGTGGTGATCCTTGGGTGATGAGGACACTCCAGAGTCACCGAGTGGATGGGAAACTTCGCCTACTGGTGTGGGGACTGGTTTGTTTTGGACATGGTGATTGGGTGCCATGGTATTGGGAGAGGAGTAGGCATGTGCAAGGTGATGGATGAGTCCTTCCTTACCCTCCCTGTCTCCTCTCACAGGGTTCGTTGGTTTCCAAGAAAGAGCCTTACGCCCGGGAGATGCTGGCGATCTCCTTCATCTCTGCGGTCAACCGCAAACGGAAAAAGCGGCGGGAGGCGCGGGGCCTGGGCAGCAGCACCGATGATGACTCCGAGCAGGAGGCACACAAGGCTGCGGCGGGGACGCAGGAGCCACCCGAGGAGCAGCTGCCGGGCCCCACAGCTGTGGAGGCCCCGGGTCGCCTCAGCCCCCCGACGGCACCCGACGAGCGGCCCGCGGCGGACACGCGCTCCATCGTCTCGGGCTACTCCACCCTGTCCACCATGGACCGAAGCGTGTGCTCGGGCACCGGCGGGCGGCGCGCGGGCGCGGGCGACGAGGCAGACGACGAGCGCAGCGAGCTGAGCCACGTGGAGACGGACACGGAGGGCAGCGCGGGCCCCGGGGGGCGTCTGGCGCGCCGGCCGTCCTTCAGCTCACACCATCTTATGCCGTGCGACACGCTGGCGCGCCGTCGCCTGTCTCGCAGCCGCGCGGATGGAGAGAGTCCGGGCGCGGGCACGGCCCGGGCGGGTCCCCGCGGTCCCGAGCCGCTGGGCTCGGCGTCGTCCAGCAGCCAGGAGTCGCTGCGGCCCCCAGCGGCCGCCTCGGCGCTCGGATCACGACCCTCGCGCGTGGAAGCCCTGCGGCTGCGTCTCCGCGGCACCGCCGACGACATGCTGGCGGTGCGGCTTCGGCGCCCGCTGTCGCCTGAAACCCGGCGACGCCGGAGCAGCTGGCGCCGCCACACGGTGGTGGTGCAGAGCCCGCTGACCGACCTCAACTTCAACGAGTGGAAGGAGCTGGGCGGAGGGGGCGCCCCGGAGCCAGCCGGCGCTCGACCGCACAGCGACAACAAGGACTCTGGCCTCAGCAGCCTGGAGTCCACCAAGGCACGGGCTTCATCCGCCGCCTCGCTGCCATCGGGGGACCTAGGGAACCTACAGGGACTGCCCACGCGCCGCTCGACTGCCGCCCGCCTCCACCAGTGTCTGTGACACCCTCCCCTATCCGGGTATCGAGTGAGGAGGAGAGAGGGCGGTGCTGGTGCCTCCGGCTGGAGTTTGATGTGATGGGCAGAAGGGGGAGTCTTCAGGAGAGGGAAGGGGCTGCTGGGGTTCATGTCCCTTGGATAAAGGACTGAGTGGCCCATTTCCGTGAGTCCACTTAGGGACCCTTGTTAAGAATGAAGTGTGGGCGGACCGCCCAAGCTTCTTACTGAAGGAAATCTACAGGCTGGATTTTTGCCTCTGTCCTCTGCCTTCCTCCCACCCCAATTAGGGGAAGACGAATGCCTGGGGAGCGGATGTATAGGGTTGGGTGTCCATGGGAGAGGGGGCTTGTGTGTGTGTGAGTGTGTGTTAGTCACTGTGCAAAGGTGTTTCCAGTCGCCAGTTCTGCCCCAACCCCTTCATCTCCCCACTTGTCCCCCAGCCAGCGCCCTGCCTTTGGTGTACACAGGCACCTTATCCCAAGCTTGTCAGAGCCCAAGGCTGAGTTGAGGCCGCTTCCAGAGGCAGGACTGAACCCCACCACCACCAAGTCATCCCTCACCGTTTGCCAATATTAGTCACCCCTCTAAGTTCTTTGACCTGCAGACCTGCCTGCTCCCCAGTTTTTTGGAGTGTCCAGGATCTGGCATCTTCCTCCTTTTGATCTTGTTTCCATGGCTCAGCATGCAGAACCCCCTTCTCCTTCTAGGGGAACTGTCAGGAAGAACCTGTTGATTTCTAGGGTCTCAGCTGGGCTATTCCTGCAGGGTGGGTGGGATCCAGCTCCCCGCCCCCACATTGTAAATAAACCTTGGAGCACCTGTCCTGCCTCCATCGGTCCTCACTCATTCCAGGGAAGCCCCAGTGGGGTTGCCAGCCCTGCGGCTGCGGCCCAAGTCCCTCCTCAGTCTCTGGTTTATGCAAAGGTTTGCTGTAAAGTCTCCCCCTCTCCCTTTTACTGTAAATATTGTCTCTAATGTGTAACATATTATAAAAAATTTATAAGGATTTTTAAAGATGTTTTGCTCATTTTAAAAAGTGTTGTAACAGTGTTGGATAAAGCCCCTACGTCTGCATGGCTCCTCCTGTGTCCCTGACACATCTCCTCTCTAGGCGATAACTAAGATTCCTGCTTCTGAAAGCCCTGTCTTCACAGTACAGTCTATATCTTGGAAATAAATGGCCTTTCTTGGGCATGAACCAGAGTCTCACTTGTTTCAGATGGGGAAAGGGACATAGCAGCTCTGGGATGGAGACAGGTGAGGTTCATGTCCCTGCAAGGAGGGTGGCCAGGCTGAGTGGCAAGGTGGAGGAAGTCTCCTCTCTGGTGGCTTCTTATGTCCTAGGAGACTGGTATGGGCAGAGACGGTCACACAGAGTGGGTGGTGTTGCCTCTACACCTCCATCCCTACATCAGCGAGAGGCCTCCAGACTCCCACCTGGCAACACCTGCAGAGGCTTCTGTTTCTCAGGCCTTCAGAGTGGCCTCAGGTACTACAGCCAGGAGACTTAGCCAGCTGCCACCATAAGCATCTCAGGCCCAGTAGCATCACCAAAGGACAGTGTGTGACTTAGCCGTTTTCTCATATATGTAACCCTCAGGATAGCTCTGTGGCTGCCCCTACTCGAGAGAGCTCAGAACCCCCCTTGAGAGCTTTGCCTAAATCCCACCTCCAGCCATCAAGCTCAGGGCTGTCATTAGGTCCTTTCTGGATGGGAGAAAACCGAGACGTGGGACAGGATGTATCGTGCCCAGGTCACCCTGTTAATAAGCTATGGAGCCAGGGAAAAGACATAGAGTACAGCTGGGGTGGAGTAGGTGAGGGTGGGACCCCCTCCTCACAGTCAAACAAAGATATTTCTAGATAAGAGAAACACAGCTGGGCAGTTGTGGCACACACATTAATCCCAGCACTGGGGAGGCAGAGGCAGGTGGATCTCTGGGTTTGAAGCCAGTCAGTCTACACAGAAAAACTCTTGAAAAAGAAAAAAAATTCACTTCACAAAGTAAATAATTGCAAAACTTGTCCATGAAGGTGTGATCTGTAGGACTCTTAACTGCATGAAGGGACAGGGAGGGAACAGATCGACATTGCAGCAAAGTTTCGTTCCTGGTTGTTGTTTTGTTTTGTTTTAGTCAGGGTCTCACTGTTTAACCCTGGCTGACCTGGAACTCGCAGTGTAGACCAAGCTAGTCTCAAACTATGGCAATCCTCCTGTCTCAGCCTCCTGAGTGCTTGGAACTACAGATGTGTGCCACCATGCCTGGTTTATGATTTGAATCTAAACTGCCCCCCCCCCCATAGACTCAGATGGTAACCTCATGGTCCCCAGCTCCCTCGTAGCACTATTTTGAAGTCTGTGGGTCTGGCTGGCAGAAGTAGGTCGCCAGAGCAAACCTTTGAAGGTCATACTGCCCTCATTCCAGCAGGATCTTCCTGTCCTCGTCCAGCAACAATGTGTTCTCCCCAAGATGGATCAAAACTCCCTTGAATGTGTGATGCAAAAATAAATCTTTTATTTATTAAGTCGATTCTGTGAGATAATTTGGTCATAGCAATAAATAGAATAAAATTTGAAAATGGAAGTTTAGAATAAGAATCAGAGAACTTATGGGGAGAGCTAGGGTAACTATTCTAAGTACAAGACAGAAATGCTAGTGGGGACAAGGACATTTTGTTTCTACCTAGGAACAACGATATTTTGTAACAGTCTAGAAGCCAGCCAATCAGGAGATAAAAGCAGGTATGTTCCCAAGGACAGTCCGGATGCAGGGAGTCTAACAAGCTTGAAGGAAAACTACACAATTTTCTATGCTAGTTGGAGACTTCAGCATCCCATACTCAGTGGTGGACAGACTAACCACAAGGAAGAAAGCCCGACTTCTGCAAACCAGCTGGATTCAAGGGTTCTGAAGACCACTCCAAAGAACAGAACATGTCTTTCTCAGGCACACGTGGAACACTCTCTGGCCAGTCCAGTAGGCCTTAAGCAAGTCCCCACGCATGTCAAAGGAGAGAAATCAGACACTCTTGTTCTTAACCACAGTGGGATTAAGTTACAAATTAAGAGGTTGGGGCTCATCAGCCAAGGGTGTTTGCAACCAAACCTTACAACCTGAGTTTGATCTCCGGAACCCACTACGTGGAAAGAGAACCACCCTTTTTTATTTGTTCTGTTTTTCAAGATAGAGTTTCTCTGTGCAGCCCTGGCTGTCCTGGAACTCACTCTGTAGACCAGGCTGGCCTTGAACTCACAGAGCTCCACCTGCCTCTGCCTCCTGAGTGCTGGGATTAAAGATGTGCACTACCATGCCCACCTGGCTGAAAACCACTCTTTAAAGTTGACCTGAGACAAGCTGGGCTTTGTGGCTCATGCTTTAATACCAGTACTCAAGAGGCAGAGGCAGGTGGATCTCCAAACTCAAGGTTAGCCTGGGCTGCAGAGTGAGTTCCTAGACAGCAAGAGCTACACAGAGAAACCCTGTCTCAAAAAAAAAAAAAAAAAAAAAAAAAAAAAAAAAAAAAAAAAAAAACAAGAAAAGGAAAAGAGAAAGAAAAAGGAAGAAAGGAAGGAAGGAAAAGAAAGAACAAAAGAAAGAAAGTCAGGTGGTAGTACTCACCTTTAATTCCAGCACTCAGGAGGCAGAGGCAGGTGGATCTCTGTGAGATCTAGGGAAGCCGGTCTACAGAGCGCGTTCCAGGGCTGTTACAAGGAGAAACCCTGTCTCTAAAAACCAAAAAATAAGAGGAAGAAGAACTCCAATTCTGTTAGTGTTGAGGGTGCCCCCCCCATGTGCATACACCCACTCACTCACACCCACACACGCACACTCCAACTACCACTTTTCTGGCATCTGTGAGGACAAGATCGTGGTTATCTGGCCCAACTAAAGCAGTCAGATGAGTGGCCAGGGGTCAGGGAGAGCGCCCACTGGAATTTGGGTTTCATTCTGGACCATTAAGTGTCACTGCCGAGAATCTGACACTCCATTCTCCTCTCCCGAGACACTGGATTGTCACCCGCAGCTGTGAAAGCTGCAACAGAAGCCATCTCTGCAGCAACTGGGCAGGTCTTGGCCACTTTCCTATTGGAATATATTGCTCCTGCAGAGGGGTCAGTGCCTCCTATTGGAATATATTGCTCCTGCAGAGGGGTCGGTGCTCGGTTTCCCGCACCCATGTAGGCAACCCGTCCTGTTCCAGGGGATCCAATGCCCTCTTCTAGTCTCGTCAAGAGCCTTCACTCGTGTATTCGACTCCTCTCCCCACCCCAACATACACACTTAAAAATAAAATGTAAAAATGTAAGAACCTCCCCCCCCCATCACTTGCCACATGCAGCTTCCTGTTCCTGGCCCATTTCCCTGACTGTCCCCGCTTGGAGCTACTTGGATTTTATTTCCTAGAACCCAGAGGCTAACACCCCCCC